TTTTGCAATATCAAAAAATCTTTTTCTCCATGAAAATCGAAAAATTAGCAATTCACCTTCAAAACCGATGCCAGAACATGCGTTCCGTACTTTGTGTAATCTGGAACCAATCCGCGTTCCATTTCCGAACGGCATTCTTTTAATGTGCTTTGCTTAGGCGATTTTCTGAAATTGAGTTATAATATTTAGAAGGAATTATCAACTTCTTGGGAAAAAAAAGCCGAATCAAAAGCATGCAAGAACTTACTAGTCAAGCCAATTCAAGATAACATGGCCTCAAGCGAACATTTCAGTAACCTAAGTACTTCTAACCAATGCAAATCAAATTCACCTAAATACCCCTTCAGTATCACATCCATGCATTCTCAGATGGTCCACAATGCTCATCACCGGTTGTGGAGGAGTTGGACCATCAAGTTCACGACCAAAAAATCCACGAGAGTCCGTTCGTTGTAAAACACGTTTTCTAAATAAGAACTATAATAATAAAATAGAGCAAATCTTGCTAATCTGGTAATGGGTAACGCATGCAAAAAACACAGAAGTTGAAAACTGCGTTTTTTTTTTCGTGGCTGAATATTTCCAAAACTAGCAAAATCCTTATGTTCTCATGGAGCCAAGAAGAAATACGCACAAAAATTCAACTATCTCCAATTTTAACCAAAATGTCCTAGCTAAGTTCCATAGTGAAAAATAAAGAAACAGATTTTAAACGAACTTAATGCTATTGACAATCTGCATGGGTGATGAACTCTTTGAAGATTTGATATTGGACAGAATCAGCCGAGCATTTGCTATAGGACATGCATCTAACGATTGCCTTTGGCTTTCGGACAGCCTAAAGTATTATAATCTATCAATCAACAATGTGATTTCGTTCAAGTCTAGAGCGACACAAACCTGATTCCCTGCTTCTCAATCTCGCTCATAATCACCACATAAACGTTTTCTGGTCCTTGCAAAGTCTTACCCGCTCCATCACCTTAAAGCTAACATTGAATTACATAAAGTTCAAACTACCCTATTTACCGGGTACAAGCCCTCTCAAAAGTACGGCTGCGCGTGGACCGCGCACGACAAAGCGATCAAGTATAAGTCGCCTATGAGAGTATAATTAATCTTCTACAATGAATTTTTTGCTAAAGGATCACATGTTAGACCAACACAGCCGCATTTTCAATAATTCCGATTTAGCTATTTTTCTCAATGAGAACCGTCGTGAAAGAGCTTTTTCTAATCGATTCTATGTAAAGGCAAATCCAAATGTCCCGCTTATGGAAGATTGGACGGAAAATGATGGAAGATAAAAGCGTGGGAAAGTCAAATAAAAATAAATTGGTAATGCCCATGGAAGGATTTGTGTTTTATTGATTTATTCACAAACAATATTTTTGATAAGTATATGTAGAAAGGAGAAAGAATTTAGAGCAATTGTTTTGAAGAATCATCTTATACAGGATGAACACCGTCTTGTATCCGAGTGAACAGGGTAAGGAACATTTTTTT